TGTTTTTTACTATTCAAAGGGGTTTTTGTGTATTCTAAACAGTGAGACTAAAAAGGTGAAAAGAGGCCAGGCATGGTGGTGCACACCTGTAATCCCAGCACTCAGAAGGCCGAGGTAGGAGGATTACTGTGAGTTTGAGGCTAGTCCAAGCTACAAAGTGAGTTCAAGGCCAGTCTGAATGACATAGTGAGACCCTGTCTCAAAAAAGACAAAAAAAAAAAAGTGATAGGAATGGGATAGTCTATAAATTAAAAATTACAGACATTAATCAGAGGTAAGTTCTATTAATGGCTGCAGTAATGTATTATTTCAAAGCAAAAGAAATAGATTATTTGGTGTACTAGTCATATAATACTCTTAGTATGGCAGTGAGGTCATCCATACTGATAGGCAAAAAATATTCATTTACAGAGTAACTCCTTCTATCTTCACTTAAATTATTTTTTTTTTCTTTTTGTCTTTTGAGAAAGGGTGTCACTATGCAGTTCAGGCTGTCCTTGAGCTCACTTTGTAGCCTAGGTTGGTCTCAAACTCACAACAATCCTCCTGCCTCAGCCTCCCCAGTCCTGGGATTACAGGCATGCACCATCACGCCCAGCTCACTTAAAATTTTGAAGAAGTGTAAGAGTATGTAAGACTACCATTCTGAGACTGGCCAAATAGAAAGTGTTTGGAGATATCCAAGTCCTCAACTATTCTACAAATTTAAGAACTAATTAATCATGTGAGTTCTCAAATGATGATATACCAAAAAACATCCATGGCTGCTCTATCCTGAGACTGGCACTTAAACTATGAAACGTGCAGGCAGTCAGTGAACATGGTCTGAATGAAGGTTGTACTCAAGTGTAGTTTCTCCTTCCCAATAATGTCAGAAATTTCTGTTGATTTGTCTTTGAAATTTTGGCTTCTTAAACTGAGACCAAAAAAATTTTTTTTCTCACTGCTTTATACAGTAAATGGAAAAATTCATTAGCTCATTTGAAAAGATAGTAATGAGTAGTTGTTTAAAAGTTCTTTACAGATATAAAATCAAGTTATGCCAGGTATCTTTTTACCTGCCTGTTATTCCATGAAAAATGAGAGCTATTAGAATTACTTTTCAGAAAACTTATCAACAGGAGGCAGGCTGTCTATAAGATTCTAATGTTTTAAAACTGCCAGTACAGTACATAGAAAACAATGACTTTATGAACTTCTTTCAAAGTTATTGATGTATTTTAATGTCAAAGAGTTAAAAGATTTTATTGCTGGAAGCATATATAGTTAATTATTGCTGCCACAGTCTTTTCTCCCCAGTCCTGGAAGTTGAAGCCAGAGTCTTCCCACTGAGCTATATCCAGCCTCAGTCACTTTGTATTTTTTAGAGACAGGAAATGCTAAGTTGCCCTCCTTGGCTCTGAACCTGTGATCCTGCTGCCTCAGCCTCCCACATACTAGGACTACAAGCATTCGCTGCCATGTCTAGCTAAGTAAATTTTAAAAGACCACGGCAGAAACATCATCTATTCCCAAAGATCTCAGTCTACTACTTCTTTGAGAAGTTTAAGAAATCTTCCCACAGCTCAGAATCATGTTACAAACAGCTCCAAGTTTTCCTATATGTTAAAGCAAAGTGCATTATGAATCAAGAATGTGTATCTCTTAGGCCTTATATCATCACATCTTTAGGAAATCAATTTTCCTAACACCTTTGGGGGTAGTGGCACTGAAGACTGAACTAGGGCCTCGTGCATGCTAGACAAGCACTGTCCCTCTGAGCTATATCCCTAGCCTCTAATCCTATTTGTTTTTTGGGTTCCTAACATTTTTCCATTATGTAGACAATTTATTAGTTAATTTGATATTTTACACCTACCCAGACTGCTTTTATATACTGGATTTCTATGCCTTTTAGATTATCTGCTCCAATTAGACAAGGATTTGTGTAACTTGCAACGGGTATTAATACCAGATGTAAAATTAGCAGAGGAAATATCTGCCAATTTTAAACACTTAGAAGGAAGATATACTCCTCGAGGTTATCCCATGTTGACTAATGACTTTGGATATATTGTATAATGTGAATCACTTTAAGGTTATAAATATATCCAGTAGGCTATAAACTTAACCAGACAAAAAAGTACAAAAGCAAGCAAGCAGCTGATATATCCAATGTAATTCTTCTTTTTACCTAGACTCACCCATTTTCCAGTTTCATTAGTCCCCCCAAATCACACTATATTTCTATTATTTGTAATGGGCTGAAAATAGAAGTGTTCAAATTCACCTTATTCTAACAATAAGGCAATTAAGCTTAAAGGAAAGCTGAATTCTACGTATAAATGTAATTTTGCAACATAACATTTTATAATCTGCTTAAATCCAGAGATTTTTATTATGCAATTTGACTTTATATCAATAAAATCTTAGATAAACAATACAGATGAAGAAACAATTTAATATATATTGAAATAAATATTAGACATACAAAGCACATACAATGAAAAAGGGTCACAATACAAGTGGAGACATTACTTTGCTCAATCACGAAAGAAAGCCCTTGATACTTCCAATTTCACACCATCAAATTTATTATTCTTGCTGATTTAAGCAGAACACAAAACAAATATGGATCCCAGGGCTTACTTTCACAGGTACCAGTATGGATAATTTACTACAGTGATCCAATTTGGAAATCAGTAGGGACCAGTAAATTGCTGCATAAAAGAGCGAGCAAATGAGATCCTTTTTTGTTGGTGTCAGCAGGCTATGATTATTGTTTATTAGATTTTCTTGAAAGGACTTCACATTTTCTCAAATATGCAGGAGAACTGTATTTCCCCTCTGAACCTTACATTAGCATTGTGTGCTTTGGTCTTGAATCTAGGAGAATGATGAATTTTTCAATTTATCTTATAAATTTATACAGTTTGGATAGTATTGGCCTGAAGAATGTAACTCCCCAATCTGTACAATATTAGATATTAAAAATGGATTAAAGAAAAGTTACTAAGAAATGCTGACATACTGTATATACAAATTTTTGTTCACTATATCCTGTTAATATAGAGCACCAGAAGTAATGCATTTATGTATCAAGTTGGTTTCTAATCTGTTTCTAATCTTTGCAACCCTTTCACATTTGGTCCAATAAATACACATCAGAAATGTTACCTAAGACTCTGCTCATTTGGTCTAAACTTATAAATACATGTGTAGGCAAAAATGAACATCAAGAGGAGTTGCTCTACCTTAAAAGTTACAAAGGAAAATAGAACTTTGAAGTTAACCTGTCAAGAACCAAGAAAACATCTGAAAGTATCAAAAAAGTAGCTGCAGAAGGCTATGAAAGTGAAAGTGAGACGATTCGTAGGTCCTTCTTTCTCCTAAAATATGAGTTAATTAAGATTTCAGTAGATATCCATCTGTATTTTTTTCTATCATTTTCTAAGAAAAAGAATCTGCTTTAGATTAAAAAAATAAAGCCAGGCGTGGTGGCACATGCCTGTAATCCCAGCACCCGGGAGGCTGAGGCAGGAGGATCGTTGTGAGTTCGAGACCAGCCGGGGCTACAAAGTTAGCTCCAGGTCAGCCTGAACTGCAGAGTGAGACCCTGTCTCAAAAAAAAGACAAAAAAAAAAAAAAAAAAAAAAATTAAAAAAATACTATACTTTGGTCTTGTTCACCTCAACTCAAACTAAATGCATGTCAGTTTTCCTACATATATATACCCACAAGACTGCAGGGAGAACCCCCACATAAGAACTTTCCTTCTGAACAACCCACCTGAGTACCTCCTCAGAACACAAACATTTCATAAATTAATTACTACCAGGAAACTTTCCAAACTTTTAGCAGCTTTTCTTATTCTTAATACCAGATCCAATAATTCTATTTAAAATATAAGAAGACTACTCAATAAAGCCATCTTTAGAAATAACTCCTGGACTTTTTAAAGGTACGCCTTTGGTATACTATCTGTTGAGCTATACTATCATATAGTATTCTGAGGAATTCTCCTAATCCTAGAAACTTCTAATGGTGTGTTAAGAAAAACTAGCTGTCTCTAAGATTCACATGTAATTTTCAAATCTTGGTACCATTCCTGATATCCAAAAATTTCTATATACAGTACTTTTGTATTATTATGAAGTCTAAATTTTAAGAGAATAAACTGACTACATCTAGTGTACTTACAAAAAACTTTTAACTACCACTTTTGTACATACCTGACAAAGGAGAAAACAATTTTGTAACAGATTGCTTAGGTGATTCAGACACTTTGCAAAAAAAAAAATCCTAATTTGTGTATCATACCCAGTTGCAACTCATTTTACTTCTTTTCAGTGCATATTGACAGGGTAACTGAGACATTTCAATATTTTTAAAAAGTACTCGTGGGTTGAGTGTAGCTCAGTGGTAGAGCATGAAACCTTGGATTTAATCCCTCGCACATAAAAACTACTCATAGTAAATGCTTACTAAATTATTGGCTCACTATTAAACTAATATACATCCATATTTAGAGCCTTAGTTTTACAGCTCACTCAGCACTTCAGTGGCATTTGAAAATGGGGGCACTGCTTAAGGTGAGAGTGACACCTAACTTTTATAAGTATAACTGGCCGCTTTTTCTCCTGAGGTTTTAGTTTTGGACTGTCAAAACTGGTTGACAGCTTTGAGGCTAGAAGATCCTTCGATCTGGCACAGGAAAGGATGGGAAAGACTTTACCACAATTCCTCAAATTAATTTCATACACTCTCATCTGAAATGTAAGAACGAACCCTAAACCTCTTAGTTCTACTTGTCTTATTTTATAGACTCATTTTCCTTTTCAGGATCCACAAAATTCAGGTTCTAAATGTACAAACCTAATTAGAATTTTTTACCTTATCTTTAGGAAGGAAATACTGATAGCTCTGCAACTCTTACTGATATAACAGAACCCATTCTATAACTTTTAGCTTAAGGCTTAATATTGGCTTGCTTTGATGTTATCTGTGAGGGACAGTCTCTCTTTTTTTTTTTTTTTTTTGGTGTGGTACTGGAGATTTGAACTCAGGCCCTTTTACCAAGCTACATCTCCTGTCTGTTTTTTTAAAATTTTAAAACATGGTCTTGCTATGCTACTCAGATTGGGCTGAAATTTGTAATCTTTCTGCCTCAGCCTCCCAGAGTGCTAGGATAACAGGTGTGTGTTACCATGCTTGGCTTGTACGGGATAGTCTGAAATATCCAAATGCAATTTTTAAAAAAGATTCCTTGTTTCACAGAAGCAAATACCTTGGCAAATTTTATACCAAGAAATTTAAATACAAATTATACTGAAGAAATTTCTCTTTAGAATCATGTTAAATATGACGTTTGTATGAACTTTCCAACTGTGCAAGAGGTTATGCACTGTGTCAGTGGTGGCAAGCCTTTCAGAGCTTTGATACAGACAGCTTGCTGTGGCATGCACGCCACAGGCTCACCACCACTGCACTATACCATTTCCTAAAGAATTAGATACTCTGGATGCTAGATCAACTCCTTTTAAACCTGTAAGAAAAAAATAAGCTTAGTCATACAGACAGAGCTAATTTCTCCTACTACATTTATTCTATCTATATATTGCTATTGTATTTCCTTAATTTTAATTTGGTACATGTAATACTATAACATCGGATGCCTAATCAGCCACTTGCAAATATTCACAATGCAGAGTTTCTAACTACTAATTTCATGCCAACTAAACATCTAATCATGCTCAAATTGTAAAATTTACCTTTTTGTGGTTGAAGAGTACTATATAGTAAGCATTCCAGTAAGGAATAAATCTGTATTTTCATTCAAATATGAGCATATCAGAAGTATTAAATTCTGCTATATGATTAAAAAGACTTAATTAAATCACAAAGTATTTGAAATTGTAGTAGTTTTAAAGTTAAAATTATTTTAAAACAAACATGGAATATTTACTTTAGGGAACTCTTTTGACCAGTAGTAACTTTAAAAATAAGGAAGAAAAACGTGAAACATAGGTACACTTAAGGGCTTTAAAAGTAAAAGGTAATCAACTTGAAAACAGGCTACATATACACAAGAAACAGAAAAACTGGGGAAATCCAAATAAGTTTTGTACTTGAGTTAGCAGTATTGTCCCACAGTTAATTTCTTCCTTTGGACCAATGTTCTATCAGTTATGTAAGATATTAACATAATAGGAAGCTGAGTAAAAGTTATACAGGAACTTTTGGCACTATTTTTGAAACTCTTCTATAAGTAAAATTATCTCCAGATTAAAAAAAAAAAAAAACTGTACAAAAAACCCTTCAGAATGTGCCTTCAGCTGCCAAAATTTGATGTAATTTAAGATAATATTTTAAAACATCATTAGAAATCAGTATGTTTACTGAATATTATAGTCACTTTATTGCTCTAAAAAGTTTACTTAAAACCACTGATTACATAAAAAGTAGTAAGGCTAGCCACACATACACATACAAAATCAACTGTGTACTGAGGTTGCTTCTCCAATTTAGTGGATAAACATTACAAAAATACAAAAATAGTTGTAGTTAAGCTACCAAGTAGAATTATTCTGGTAATCTATCCTAGAAATATCACCTTTCTATAAATTAGGAAGTTAAACAAAAGGAAAAAATGTTACTGATAAGTCACTAAAGAATGTATCCGACAAATCCAAATTACATGCAGACAGAAGAAAACTGGTTACAAAAACCATTTCATTAATCTAAAATTGTGCAATGTTTTAAACATTTCCAATCATGCAATAGTAGTAAGGATCAGAGTAAATTTTATAAAGCAGTTGATGGGAGCTGAACGAATAGGATTCAACACATTATACAACCCAAGTCACAGTTTTATAATATATCCAATTCCCCCAATCAGAGTACTATGAAATTGAAATCCACACTATGCCGTAAGTCCTCCCTCAACCATACTCTCAATGAATTGCCATACCTATAAACCTTTCCATTTAACCTTTTAAACCAAATTTGATGGAAAATATGAAATTTATAGGATATCTTTACTATTTCAGAACACACATGAGTATAGTTATATATTCTCAATCTTCAATTACATTCTTTTCACATGGCATCTCAACTGCTGCAACTGTCTACGAAAATTCAAGCCTGAGAGACCAAAAAACTACAGAATCAAGAATCTGAATTTGATAACTCTTCAAACCATAATTATACTAAAACCTATCTGTTCACATTTGTAAAAGGATTTTCTATTTGATAAATGTTACTCAATGAGTCTCTAAAAGGGAAGCTGTGTCACTACTACCTTCTGATATAAAATATTTATGTGAGCCCTAACAGCTGTCCTAGCAAGGCAGCACAGAATCAAAAACCATTTGAAATAAAATTGGTGAGAATTTGTTAAAATCATCAACCAAAATTACTGAATGGCAAAAGAATACTGTCTCAAAATATACTGAATTCACATGTTATTACCATTCTGAACTCATGCTAGATATAAACTCAGATTATTAATTAGGGTGAAACAAATTTCAAAACTAGCTTTACAAGAAATAAATGTATTTCATGATACAGGCATAGCAGCATCTAAAAAATCTGGTATATTTACCACTAGATACAAACTTCCTTATCCATTAGCAACAGAGCACAGTAAAATTTTCAGAAACTTTTATTAAAAAGGCTTGATTTAACATGCCAGGGAAACAATTATTTTTCCAATGAGATGCATTTATTTAAATTATGTAAATTGGATTGCGGTCACTGTAAGACCTGAAATTTTTGACCCCTAGCAGAAGTACCAGCTGCTAATAATGCTTATATTATATACATAGTTTAACTAGATGTTAAACTACACAACTGTTGGTGCCAGTCTGCTGATAAAGGCAATGCTCTGGAGGCAAAGTCTTCTCACAAACAGCGGGCAGGCAGGTTTCATTATTATGTGTTCAACAACAATCCTCAGTTCATTAAACAAGTTCCTGCAAAATAAGGAAAAAACAATGAATACGCACTACAATGCTGCCAAATGTTGATGAAGTTTATAAAGCCAATAAAGAATTTGCAAAAATAAAGATTAACCTAGAATGCATTAAGGGAAGCACACAGAATATACATAAAATGAACTGGGCCCACTGCAGGGTACCTATATAGTTCTAGCTCTCCACAGGCTGAGGGAACAGGATCGTTTGAGCTCAGGAGTTGGAGACCAGCCTGGGCTATACAGCGAGCTCCTGCCTCAGACACATTTACACACAAAACCAAATCCCTAAAATCAGCAGCTGTGTCTTTTTTTGTGTGGAAAAAATCAAAGATATTCTGAAAAATGGCTATCTCTAAGGACTGAGATTAGGGATGATTTGCATTTTTTCCTCTATAGCAGTCATTGTAACTTCACATTTAATTTAGACAAATTCAAACTGTTTTAAAAAGAAATCAAGAAAAGTTATATAATATGGGCAGCCCACACACTATTTCTTTAAAAGAACATACAATCTCTCAGAGCTTTCTTTATCTATAAATCCGCATGTATTTCAGAGTTGCAGTGAAATTTAAATGAGACAATATGGTGTTCAATGTTACTTTCTAAAAGAATAAAACTGGCTTTTTTTCCCCTGCAGAACCATAGTCTGGTCTCTATTTAATTTGCTACCTCATCTTATGCTACAACTTCTTTGCATTATGTTTCATGTTTGTACCCCAAACACTCTATAAATTCTGCCTTTGCCCTAAATATGCCTGCTGCCTACAAAATATTCTTTATTATATTCTGTACATGATATGCATTATCTGACACATATACTGTATTGTAATTTACAGATAATTTGAAAGATCATCAAAAGCAAGCAATACTGACTATTCACAATTTCTACTTTACTTGCTGATTCATCCTACACAAAGATGTAACTCCTATTTCTAATTTTCTGTATCTTCTGAGTTATCTCTATGGTTAGAATGTTTTCCTTTTTTGAAAGTATTTAAATGCTATCACACAAAGACAGAAATACACAATTTGGAAAAATGCACAACACACAAAACCTGTCCTTCCTTTATCTCCTGGGTTTTCTATCATTCTTCTTCCCTGTGATCTAAAATGCTACTCTCTGAGTAGTTTTCTAATTGTTTCCTCCACTAGATTAGTTCAGGTTCTGAACTACCCTAACAAGTCTCCAAACTGGTCTATTTTTTCTTCTTGATATGCCTGCTTCTGGAATATTTATTTCTAAATTAGATTTCATCATGTAGGTTCCTAAACCCTTCATACTGTAAACTTCAAAAGTCCTCCTATGTATCAAAATAAAATCCAAACACTTTCATAATCTGGTCCTTTCTGCCATCTACCTCTCTGAGCACAAATCTTTATCATTTTCCTATGTACTTCCTGAGCTCAAGTAACTACTGGTATGCTGAGTACTTCCAAGTGCCATGGCGCAACTACTCATTTAGCTTCTATTCCCACCTCCTCAATGAATCCTCATTTTTCTCCTATTCCCTATGCTTTCACAGGACCTTCATCATCACACTGACTCAGCTGTCTAATCTACTCAGGAGTAAGTCCCTCAAAAGTACATACTTAATTCTACATAAACCTGTTATCAATCATATAAAATCACCTATCTACCTACCTTTTTTTCTTTTTTTGTTTTTTTTGGGACAGGGTCTTGATAGTAGCTCAGGCCAGCCTTGAACTTACTATGTGGCCCAAGCTGGCCTCAAACTCATGATGAGTCTCCTCCCTCAGCCTCCTGAGTCCTGGGATTACAGACACCACCACACCTATTTGTATGAAATCACTTTTCAATAGGAATCAGTCAAATGAATAAAATGAGAAAACATCTAAAAATACTCTAATAAAAAAAGAAAAAATTCTGGCTGATCACTGGCAAAGATCAAGTCACAGACCAGTGGTGGCGAACCTAAGGCAAGCCACAGCAAAGTTCTCCCTGAAAGCTCTAAATGGTTCGCCATCATTGCTTACTGCTGTTAGCAGAATTCTCAGTGATGATTAAGATGTGGATCTGCACTGTCCAATATAACTGCCACCAGTGACACATAGCTTTTAAGTCCCTAATCTATAGTTTTCTGAAACTCAGGAACTGAACCTTAAATTTATAAATTTTAATTAATTTACATAGTTAAATGTGGCTCATGTCTGCTGACCTAGACAGCATGGACAATTTATTGCTATCTTTTCATTTTCAGTCTACAAAAAAATTCTAAATTTCTCAAGTTAGTAGTATGACTTAAAAGGTATATGGAAAAAAAACAGGGTATAAAGAAGCACAGAAAAACAAACTTATTAATGGATGGCAGGGCAAGAAAACAAAGACAATATGTAAAATCAACACATGGACCAGAAAAAAAGACAAAGAATCATGGAATCAAGTAAAGGGAAGGCTTATTTACTACCAGGGACTCATTAAGAACCTGTGTTCTTATGTGATGCTTTATACCTGTAATCTCAGCTATTCAGGAGGCTGAGACAGGAAGATAACAAGATTGAGGCCAGCCCTGGCAATTTAGTGAGACTCTGTCTCAAAAAGGACTAGGGGGCAGGGGAAGAAGGACTAGGGATATAGCTCAGCACTCCTGGGTTCAATCACCAATACCACCAACAAACCCCAAAGCAGAACAAAAATAAAACAAAGCCTGTGTCCAAAATAAGTTCCATTTCACAAAATGAACATTAAAACATTCCCTGAAATGAGAATCAGATCATACAGTAAGAAAGATAAGGTTGTTTTCAAAGAACCCAATAAGGTCTAACCCCCCATGCAACCTTTTTTTTTTACATTTTAAGAGACAAAGTCTATGTTGCCCAAGCAACATAGTTCAGCTGCTTTGAACTCCTAAACTCATACAATCCTCCTGTCTCATCAGCCATTGGTGTTGCTAAGCTGTGACTACAGGTACATGCCACTGTGCTTGGCACAATTAAGTACTTTATTATTTTTATTTGTTTGTTTTGAGGCAGGGTCTCATTATGTAGTATTGATGGGCCTCGAACTCATGGCAATCCTTCTGCCTCAGCCTCCCACGTGCTGGAATTACAGGTGTGTGCCACCATGACTGACCCTGGCACAGTTAAGTACTTTAAAAAGTTTTCTTCTCTATAAATGAAGAAATTCAAGTTGAAATAACTTTGCTTACAGTCACACTGTAAATGTGTCAGCATTCAAATTTAGTTCTTTTTAGCCATATTACAGAGATCACTCTAATACACTGGATTTCTACCTGAATTCTACATTATTTTAAACATGAAAATAAAAATGTCAAGACCTTTACTAAGTTACACTGAAAATGCTATAAAAACACATGTACTTATTTTTTAAAATTTTACTTTGAGAACAGAATCCATAACTTAAGTGTATTCTGTTCCTGAAAACTACACTAATTGCCTAAAATATGTCTGTTCCCCAGTTTTCTCTTGCAAACCTACTTTGTATAAGACTATCAGAAGAATATTTTGATCGTGTCCAAATCATCATTTCCACACATTTAGAAGATAAATTCAAAACTTGCCCTGTAACTCAAGAACCTTTATTATATGGCTCTATATACCTTTCTATTCTAATCCTAGTTCCAGCAACTCACCTTTCAGAATCCCTACTACAGTGGAACATGTCCACTCAATGCTCCTCAAATATGGCTTACACTTTTGTGCCTCTGAATTGAAGCTGCTACTGTCTCTCCACCTAAAATGCTTTCCCCTTTTTCACTGCGTATTTAATCTTTCCAGAACAAATTTAAATCCCGTTTTGGAAAATCTTCCTAGGCTTATCTTGTGGCCCAATAACTTTTTCTTTCTGTGGACTACAGTACTAATAAATAAAACAAACATATGGGTAACTCATTATACAGTATTCCGCCTTACCAAAGGGGTACGTTCTGAGACCTGCAAGAGATGCCTGAGAGCACAGATAGTAGTGAACTCTATATGCACTTTGCTTTTTCCTAACCCTACATACTTTGATAAAGTTTAATTTATAAATTAGGCATTATACAACATGGATATTCTGGACAAAGGCATGGTTCACATCCCATGTAAAAAGGAGGACAGAACAAAATATCATCACCCTACTCAGATCTGCACACAATTTACAACTTATGAATTATTTATTGATGGAATTTCTCACCTAATATTTTTGGTGAAACTGGATGAGAGGGGAACTGTTGTGTATTGATCTATAAATTCCTTATCCTGAAGGAAATTTTCTTGAGAATGAGACTTAAGTCTCATGTATCTTTACATTCCCTGTTAGCAGTGTTTTAAAGACAGTCAACTATATCCCCAATATCAACTTCTAAAAATACAGGTGGTCCCCCATGTACAGTTTGACTTATTTTCAATCTTATAATGCTATAAGAGTAATATGCATTCAACAGAAGCTGTACTTTTAAATTTTAATCTTTTCCAAGGCTAGCAATATTGTATGGTACTCTTTACTGCAATGCTGCTATTCCATGGCAGAAAGTTCCAACACCGTCAGCCACTACTGTTGCTAATGTTTGATAAGGTAGGCGGATTAGATGTACTTTCAATTCACGATAGTTCCAATTTACGACTAATTTATCGGGACACAACCCCTTCATAACTCAAAGAGGTCTATACAATCACCTCCTCATTAAGCCTAGCCAATTCTGAGGCCTAGAATTTAAATATACAAAAGCACTTTTTCCTTCTAAATTCTAAGCTATTAGTTAACTTCTAAGAGTTATAAAATAAAAAGTGTATACAAACTAATCATCAACTTACCGACAATATGGATTTCTTCTAGAGGAGTATCGAAGAGTAAGAAATCTATAGTATATAAAAGGCTGCAGCAAACTTCCTTGGCCGCTGAAATAAACAAATATAATGATAACTATCTATTACCAATTCATATGTATAATCAAAACTTATGGGCAATTCAAATGGAGAATACGTGCATATTCATTCATCAAATTTTTTTTTTTTTTTTTTCTGGTACCGGGAACCGAACTCACAACCTTGCGCTTGCCAGGCAGGCTCTTTGCCGCTGAGCTAAATCCCCAGCCCCCCAATTTTTTTTTTTTTGTTGTTTTTTGCCGGTACCAGGAATCGAACTCATGACCTTTGCACTTGCCAGGCAGGTGCTGTGCCACTGAGCTAAATCCCCAGCCCCTTATTCATCAAATGTTAAGTAGTAACTATCATAGCTAAATCAAAGTTATGCTTAAAAAGGAAACAAAAGAATGTAAACGACTAGTAAAGAGTAAAATAAAAGCATATTACTTTTGAAATTTTAAAATGCTAAGTCAAAAAACATCACAAATGTTTCCATCATTACTACAGACAATTGGCAAAAATCAAGTTTTAAAATTTAGTAAGGGGGGTTGGGGATTTAGCTCAGCGGCAAAGCGCCTGCCTGGCAAGCGCAAGGTCGTGAGTTCGGTTCCCGGTACTGGAGAAAAACCAAAACCAAAAAAAAATAAAAAATAAAAAAAATAAAATAAAATTTAGTAAGTACTCAAATAAACAATGTGTTTTATTCCATAAAACAAATGAAAGCTCAAAAGTATACTGGCTTACCTACATAGCCTGCACTAGTAAGTATTCTTGATTAGAAAGTATAAGCACAATACCCCCAAAGTTACATATTTGTGTAAAAATTTCAAGTCTGGAGTTCTTCCCTACAAAAATCTTTGAATTATGGTATTCACTGAAAAAACTAAAAATAAAACATAGCAGTTAGCCTGGGGATGTGGCTCAATGGTAGAGCACTTGCCTAGTACGCACAAGGCCCCAGGTTCAATCCCTCAAATTGCAAAAATACATAAAGAAAGAAAAATCACAGCAGCAACCTGAAGTGGACAATGAGATAGGAGGATTAAGTAAATTGCATTTTGTCTACTTAATGGATTTAGTATGTAACTACTTAAAATTCCAGTTATGAAAACTATACAGCAATTTTGGAATATAAAACTATATATATTACTACAACTATATCTCAAAACATGAACATGCTAAATGTAGTTTCTTAGGTTAATTTTTTTAGCCTTTCCTTTTAAATTGTATGATCTTTTTACAGCTAAAATAATTTACATGATTACAAACATCACTAAATTAAATATTACATCCTTTTTCTCCAACATATATTTTGCCAAACTTTTAACTTTCTAAATTGAAAATACACAGCATAGAATATATAGAGGAACTAATTACTGAAAAATGTTTTCTATTATTTAAGTGAATCCTTTTCTCAAAGCACAATTTCTAATATATCCTTCCAAAAACTTATGCCCACAAGTGTATAAAACGACTAACACTAATATAGCACTTTAGAGTAATAATTCACTGAATCCACATAACAACTCTAAGAAGGCAGTATTATAATTTTCAAGAAACTGAGACAGAAGCATATATACGTACTTGTGCACATTCTTTCCCTCCAAATATAAACGGACATACTCCATATTGTTTTTAACCAACTTTATTTTATCTTGGAGATCATCCCACATGATAACATATAAATCATCTCAATCTTTTTTTATAGGCTCCATCTTAGGCTTGTACCAAGCCTATATAACAAGCTCTTTACTACTGAATATTAAGGATTACTTCAGTATACAATTAGAAATAAAGCTACAATGATCATCCCTATTATCTTTCTTTGCACACATGTGCATGTTATGTGTAGGATAAGTACAGACTGTAAATTCATTTTAAATACAGAGCTTGCAGCAATACTGCTACAAATAAAACTTGATAAAGCCTTCTAATATCAGACCGTGTCAAACCTCAGGGTACCATATCAAAATGGTAATGACATGATTTTTAAAAATTTTATACTTTGGGTTATATTCAAGTTACATACTTAAAGCATTAGGGGCCAGGGATATAGCTCATTGGCATAAGCACCTGCCTGGGAAGAGCAAGGTCCTGAGTTCAATTCCTGGTACAAAAAAAAACCCCCAAAACAAGCATTAGAGGCTTTCCATATTAAAAATGGAGGGTCAGGGATTTGGCTTTATGGTAAAATGCTTGCTTAGCATGTGCAAGGCCCTAGGTGGGATCAGTAAAGTGCAAAACAAAATGGAAAAAAAAAAAAGAAACAAGAATGCAAATTTTTAAAAACTGCAATTCTTAAAAATAAAAATTACAAAACAACTGAAAGACACACAAAAAAATAGGAAGCCTGCCTATGTACCGGGGTTGAAAACTTTTGTTAAAAAATTTGTCCCAGACTTTTGTTAAAAAGTACTTTCTACCCAAAAGTGATTTATAGATTCAATGCAATCATCAAATTATCAATGATATTCTCCACAGAAACAGAAAAAAATCGTAAAATATACATAAAAACAAAGACTCTGATTAGCCAAATTGATCCTGCGCCAAAAGAAAAAATCTAGAAGCCTAACAATACTTAACCTAAGAACATAGTAAAGGGCTATAGTAACCAGGACAGCATGATAGTGGCATAAAGACACACACAGACCAATGAAACAGAAAGGACAGCCTACAAATAAGTACTACAGCCCATTCACAGTCAACTAATTTTTGACAAAGAAACCAAAAACCTACGCTGAACAAAGGACAGACTCTTCAATAAATGGTGCTAGGGAAAACTGTATACCTATAAGTGGAAGAATCAAACTACTGTAGATACCTTTCTTTCACCATAAACTAAAAACTCAAATTGTCTAAAAGTTCAGAAACTATGAAAGAAAAATAAGAGGAACACTTCAAGATATCAGTATAAGCAATGATTTTTTGGATAAGACTCAAAAGCACAGGCAAAAAAGTGAGAACAAATTGGATTATATCAGACTAGAAAACTGCTGGACAGCAAAGGAAACAATCAAAACTGAAGACAACATAGAGACTGGGAGAAATTATTTGCAAACATTCATTTGACAAGGGATTAATATCCAGAATATATAACGAACTTAAGAAGCTGAAAACAATAAAAAAAACAAATGGGTATATGATCTGAATAGACATTTCTCAAAAGATACGCAAATAGTCAACAAGCATACAAAAAAATGCTTAAGATCACTAGCCATGGGGAAACGCAAATCAAACTTACAATGAGATATCATCTCACCCATCAAAATGACTGTTGTGATAAAAGCAAAAAACAAACGCTGGCAAGAACACAGAAATAAAAAGAATTGCTATACACAACCGAAAGGGAATGTAAATCAGTACAGCCACCAATGGAGAACATTGGGGTATTGGATCATGTATTTTTACTTATTTGGGGAACCCCAATGTTCTCCAATCATCCCATTTCTAGGTACTATACAGCCAAAGGATCTGGAATGAGCATATCTACACACTCGTGTTTACTTTATCACTATTCACTGTCTCAGTGAGTTATCCATTAGCAGATGAATGGATACAGAAAATGTGATACATATATACCCAAGTATATAAACACTACAGAATATCATTCAGCCATATAGAAAAATGAAAAACTGCTATTTACAGCAAAAATGGAAGGTCCTGGAGGAAATTAAGTAATAAGCCCAGCATAGAAAGCCAAATACCGAAAAAAAAAAAAAAAAAGGAAAATACCGTATGTTCTCATTCATACACAGAAGCCAAAAAAAAACTGTTCTCAAAGAACAGAGTAGAGCAGTGATTACTAAAGATTACAAAGTGTAAAAGAGAAGGCGGAGATAGGGAAGTTAGATAATAGGTACCAAATTCCAGTTTCAATAGAGAAGCAAATTTTACTGGAAAAAAAGTGTAGCTAATTTCTCCATTTAAGTATTTCTGGTAAATTCTCATTTCCTATACAATAACTGGAAATTAAGATGTAACTCTGTATACAGGTAAGTGTTTGGGTAAAACATTCGAGGGGTACAAATGAGTTACTGCACCGATGAAGTCAAAATCTGGCCCATCAACAAAAAATCTGCAGTTCTAAAATGAGGTTTTGTTTGTCTAAGTTTACAAAGGATCTCAGCATTTCATTTTGTTTGTTCATAGTAATGAAGACTGAATTCAGGGCATCACACTGAGTTATACTCCCACTGCTTTTATTTTGAGGGGGTCTTACTAAACTGCCCAAGCTTAGCTTCCATTCGTGATTCACCTGCCTCTCAGAGTGCTGGGATTACAGGTGAGTGCCATCTGTTCTGGCTTTTGTTTTATCTTTTGTAGCACAAAGGATGGAAACCAGGGCCTCACAATTGACAGGCAGGCCCTCCACTACTGAGCTACACTCCTGATTTAAGATGAACATAATAAATTATTGTACTTATTTTAAAATGTGGACATCAATTATATCCATATAAAAAAACTAGTTTAGTATTTACCATTTGAATTTTCTAATACTTACATGAAACAGATGCAGAACCTAGTATGCTCTAAGACCAAGGTTAGGTGATCCAAGAAACAGAAAAATGAGTAAGAAAGGAAGTAAGACGTTCCTTTCACCAATTAAACTGTTTAAGTGTCTCGTCAGGATTACAAAGAGAGATGAAAAATAAGATCTATAAATCATAGGGAAGACAGTACAATTTGTATCTTTCTCTTTGCCCCAGATTACATTACCCTCTTGTGTACTTTCACCTTCTAGGATAAGACTTACTAAATCTAAGGTAGCCAGGCATGGTGGTGCAAACCTGTAATCCAAGCACTTGGGAGACTGAGGCAGGAGGATCTCCGTGAGTTCAAGACAAGCCTGGACTATATAGTGAGTTCAAGGCCAGCCTGAACTGCATAGTGAAACCCTGTCTCAAAAAGACCAAACAAAACAAAACAAAACAAAACAAACAAAAAAACCAAACTACAGTAAAAGTTTTATAGTTCAGTAATTTATAAATATAGCTACAATAAATTCATCAAATCCTATATCAAGCATTCATGGACTGTTGCTGCTGGATTTTATACATTTATCTATTTTCAACTAACTTTTTTTTCTGTACTGGGGACAATCTGAATATCTGTGCATGCTAGGTAATAATGATCTAAATTGGGTGTCATGGTGCACCCCTGTAATCCCAACATTCAGGAACCTGAGGCAGGAGGACTGCCATGAGTTCAAGGCCAGCCTGGGCTACCTATAAGCAACTATTGCTGTAAATCTGATTTTTTTTCTCGGTACTGGGGATTGAACCAGGAGGTATTCTACCACTGAATTACATTCCTAACCCTTTTCTTTTTACTTTGAGATAGGGTCTCACTAAGTTGTCCAGGCTGGACTCAAATGTTTGGTACCCCTCCCTCAGCCTTCTGAGTAGCACCAACACACCTGGCACACCTACTATGTTCTTGACTTTAAAAAATCATCTCAGTAGTGGAAAGACTCTTTCAAAAGCAGTAACTTTGAACTCAGTTTTCAAAATGTTCAATGATGTATCATAAGGAATACACAACAGATTCCTAGGTTTACTATGTCTAGCTTCTTTATAAAGTGATTAAGATCTATCTAGCTCTACATGTCAATATCTACTTAATTGATTCAACCGACATAAAATTTAAATTAGTATCTTTTTATATTCACTCACCAATCTTCCAAAAACACATTCACTTTTATTCTTACCTAAAAAGCATAAAAACTGTAGCAGGCATCAAGAAAATTTCATTGCAAGCAATGAATTTCAGAATATTTTGTTGATTAGCACTTAATTTATCCAAGACAGCTCTCAGTAAAGGTAAACTATTTGAACCCTTTGCCTAAAACAAAAGAAAACGAACATTATAAATAACGAAGCATTTTGATAACTCAGTTACAGTCATCGCTCAGTATCCATGGAAGGTTAGCTCCAGGATATCCCTCACATACGACCATCTGCAGATGCGCAAGATCCTTGTTTAAAATGATAAACTATTTGCATATAATCTATACACATCCTCTCATACTTCCAATCATTTCCAGGTTACTTATAATGCCTAGTATAATGTAAATGCTATATAAGAAGTTAAACTGTATTGCTTAGAAATGACAAGGAAAGTCTGTATGTATTCAGTACAGACACAATTTTTTTTGGCAAGTACTTTTAATCTGCAGTTGGTTAAAGCCACAGATGCAGACCCCAGGGATACTGAGTGCTGACAACATTTTCTTTTTTAAATCAGCAGCCAGCATATCCAACAGATAATATCACCAAAAGCCAATCATTTGAAAAGTATTATAAAAGTTTACAAACTAAAGACAGACATCAGTGTATTTTCCTTATTTTATTTTGTGTATTTGAAGACAACACAAAACACATTAACAAAAGTATACTGCTAGATGCTTTTGAAAATATAATTTTATATTATATATTTTTATTATTATTTTTATTTATATTATGTATTTTTATTTTTTGAAAATATAATTTTACAAAAAAAACACCCCATGGTTATCTCTTTTCCAATCAAATAAAAAAATCTATCTATAATTAAATTAAAATATGTGACTCCTTAGTTAATGGTAGAAATTAAGGAGACCTAATTGCTGTGATAGCCAGAATTATAAGATAAAGAAAAAGGCCAACAAAAAGCACAAATTGAGATATTTTAATTCAAACTTCAGTGCATATGCAGTATATCCTCCAGGCACACTTAAACAAAGCTTAATGTTCCAATCCAGCAATAAAATTTCAGGACAGTAGCAGTTCTTAACATTAATGTAAAAAAAAGAATCAGAAAACTCTTATTTATCTTTCATATTAGAATTATATTTTGACATATTGCTTCTCAGCCTTTTGGCTAAGATCATGTGTAGAATTATATACTGACACAACAAGACAACTCATCAAGCTTAAGGATATGAGTATTTTAAAAAACAAAAAACTGTTTCAGATTTCAGAAAATCCTCTGGAAACTGGGAAGGGGTAACTTTTAGTGCAATCCTTCTTACAAAATGTACTAGTATGTGACATTCCAACAATAAAAAGTTCTAAACTCAAATTACTAAATAAATTTTTAACAAGTTTTAAGGAATAAAGGGATTCTCATTGACAAATGCCAAAAGGCCTTAGAACTCAAATTTATGTCTATTTTCTATAATCCAGGAGTGAAAGAAATAGCATTGTTTTACTTACATCGAGGACCTTTTTTGTGTATGTGGCAGCATGAAGCAAAGAGAATAATAAGACTGGGAAAATACTCACTGAAGAAAACAATTAAGGAAAATATTTACAAGTTATCAAGTATTTTGCAAAATGTATGCACTACGTCCAAATATACAGACATGAAAAGCCTGCAAAATAAGTCCCGTGCAATGCTTTTGTTTCACTGACATACCTTGAATCAAATACAGTTTTGTTATTTATTTTAAAATTCCCTATGATGAATGTGATCATTATATTTATCTAAAATATATCAATGAACTTAATAAAAAACTAAAATGTACTTTCAACCTATAAAATAATAGAACAAATGTGCTTATGACACTATATATAATGGAAAATTTAATTACTAAGCATATAAAAAAAGTATTTGACTTTCTAAAATTCACCATTCTTTTTGTGAAGAAAAAATACAAAGAAAGATTTTTCTCATTTATTTCTACTGGTTAGTAAAGCAAACATCTGCGAAGCTATATTCAAAGCCAAGCCACCTCAGAGAATATGCAGCTTTTAACCCTACAGTGGCCATCCTGGCCATTCTGAGCCTTCAAACACTTGCATGCTTTCATGGATTTCAATGACTGAGGAAAGAGTCAGAGGTAAAGGTTAAGAGTTAATTCCTAAATTTTTCTCAGCTGAAGATCTTCTATTATTTCTTTCCTACAAAACCCCCATAATTTTATGGTACTGCACCTAAAAAGCTGCTATAATTATGTTCTCAACAATTTAAGTACAGGCATAAACAGAGAATCCTTATACGTAAGTCCAGTGGTCTGACTTTATGCCATGGATAAATATACAATTTTCATTCAAATTTTTAAAAAATGGAAATTGCTCAAAAGATCTCATTTACCACCCCAATTGCTGCCAGGTTGATATTAGGAAAGAAAAAAACTTGTCAAGTATTTCATGAACTGATACTACTGTTAATTAAGAATGGCAAAAATACTAGCTCTCAAAATACTAGCAGTTTCTAAGAAATGAATTGTATTTTCTTACCCTAGATGAAGGCTTAATGTAAATGGGAAATGGTAACTACAATAATATAATCTGAGCATCAAATTCATATAACCACAACTTATTTAGGACTCTAAATTTTCTAACTTTTTTTTTTGGTTTCTTTTCCAGTACCAGGAATCGAACTCACAACCTTGCGCTTGCCAGGCAGGCGCTGTGCCGCTGAGCTAAATCCCCAGCCCCCTCTAACTGCTAATTGGTGAGCAACTGCCCAAGTATTAGAAAAAAATCTAATTCTCTAATAATATAGTAATTCTCCAAATTAATAACCTGACCAATTCCTTCTTAGTACTCACACAAATTAGGTAAAATGCCAATTTTCTGAGTAAAGGTCATACACACATACACAGTCTTAAATATTTTAGTGAATCTCAGATATACCCCTTTAAAACTGATGAAAGCTACAATCCTCTCTTAAGGTTCTGTGAAACTCTGTTACAGTTTAAATAATTCAATTTAAACTCTGACATGTATCCAGACTTGCACACTTGCAGACAGATTCAGTAACAGAGGCAGTGTCAGGTAGTGAAACAGAACTCTGAACTGTGAGCTGAGGTATCTGGGTTTCAGTTCTGGCTCTGTCATCCACTCATTTTCCTAGAGTAAGTTTCAAACCCTTCCAAATAAGTTCAAGGCCAGCCTGAGCTAAATAGCTAGTTCAAGGCCAGAAAAACAAAACAAGACCATGTACAGGGCAAAGCCAGAGATCTCTACTGCGCTGTTTATCTTTAATATTGTACAATTCACAAATCCACATCTTACGCTGTACAGTTCACAAATCCCTAACAAGAGACTCATCTTAGCTTGCAGTGTCACTTTTTAAACTATTTGGAGGTAAGGGGTGTAGAGTACAATTTTAACCCTAAGTACTTTACTTCATATAATAGACCAAGTAAAATTATCACCCTTACCCAACTTCTTAAGAATCAGATTAGTATTTCTTCATATAACCAGTTTATGTTATTCCCACTGCTTACCACTCTTCCTTCCAAAAGAATAGGGAATATGAAATCCTTATCTTCAACGTACCAGGAGACAGGTTAGTAAATAACCAACTAGACAGGAAAGGCTGTCTTCACAGTCAGTCTCGTTTGTAAGACCTAAGGTTTCATTCACTCAACAAAATATACTGAGCGCCTATCTGTGCCAAGCACTGTCCCAGTGTTCAGTACTGATGTGTTCAATTTGCTCTAAATTAATTACCTAGAATGCATTTCTCACTTCTATTTCTCCAAGGAAATTTTAAGCTATTAAAAGGCATAATGAAGAACTTTTACATGTCTTCCCATAGTATCTCAAAAAAACAAGACTTTTAGGCAAGGCATGGTGACACACACCTGCAATCCCAGCACTTGGGAGGCTGAGGCATGAGGATCGCTACAAATCTGAGGCCAGCCTGGGCTACATAGTGAATTCAAAGCTAGCTTGAACTACATAGCAAGACCCTGTCTCAAAAAAGTGAAGAAAAACAAGAATTTTAATAATTGTGATTGCAAAGCTCCTCAATGAACAAGTCTAAAAGCTAGTCAATCCAATGATATGCCAAATAAACACTTAAGAGTTGTAGTACAACCATCTAGTGAGTTTTACCAAAAAATAATACAAATTATAATGTGACACTACAGATCCATACATTAAAACATTAAAAACTCTACCCTTATGTCCCAACCTACTTGCATTATCATGATAAAAAAAAAGAAATTTAAAACAGAATCTCCACATACCACACATATAAATGGTTACTGGCTCTACCTAGGAACAGACAGAAACATCTTGAAGCTACAACTGGGTGCAGTAGTTCACACCTGTAGTTCCAGACAATGAAGGAGGCTGAAGCAAGAGGGTCATGAGTACCTTAGGGAGACTGTTTCACAATTAAAAAAAAAAAAAAGCTGGGGACGTCTTCAGTGGTAGAGTACTGAGTCCAATCCTCAGTACTGCAAAAAAAACCTGCACTTAAATATTTCCCATTAACTGTTAATGAGGTAGGCCTTTTAAGTAAGAAAGATCTTGTCAGCATTACTGTTTACCACCCAAAGTTTTGAGCACAACACAATGATTTATTTTTTCAAAGCATACCTCATAGTAAATATGTCAAGTTCCTATACACAGTATTGAGGTGCTCGGGAAATTTGAGTTAATTCCTCTTCTAGTTTGTTTAACACTTGTAAGTCCACTTAGGGGCTGGAGTTGCAGCTCATTGGTAGAGAATATGCTTGGCATGTACAAAGACCTGGGTTTAATCCTGAACAACAAAAAGTGTGTTTAAAATTTGAAACTTTAGCTGGGTGTAGTGGCACACACCTGTAATTCCAGTACTCGAAAGGCTACAGGCTCAGGCAGGAGGATCACTGTGAGTTCGAGGCCACCGCAGGCTACACAGTTTAAGTCCAGGTCAGCCTCAACTGCATAGCAAGACTCAGTCTCAAAGAAAAAAAAAAAAACTTCACAGGCATAGGTATTATGCTTGTAAATGTCTAATATTTAATCTTGCAGAAATAGTTCATTGTGTTTTCCATCATGTATGATTGTATCAAGTATTCAAACGCTCTTAGAGCAACAATTCAAAAAGTACAAAATGGTATAATTTCCAGAGGGATACTCTACAGGGGAAAAAAAAAACCTACAGAATGGTAACTCTTTTATTCTCACAATGCATAAAAGTCCTATAAGAACCCTATTTTTAAAATGTGTAACTTACTGCTTTGCTTACTGAGTTGTAGAACTCTCGTTTGGACTAACTCCCATTTCATCATTCTACAACACACCTGAAATGTGGAAATGTACAAATTCCAAATGAACTGTTAAATTTTCACTGGCTACATAGACTACCTATGTGCGTCTTCTTTTCCTATATTACATAAATATTAAAAATTCTTTGAATTTTATTATTTCTTAATTAAATTTCATTTATTTCTAACTTAGTGGGTGATAAGAAAGAAACAAGCTCAGGATCTCTCTGGGTATTTTTGGTTTTTCTTGAGACAGGGTCTTGTTATACTGTTCAGGCTAGACTTGAACTCATGATCCTCTTACCTCAGCCTCCTGAGGGCTGGGATCAGAGGCCTGCGCCACCACGCCCAGCTAGGATCTCTCTTTTTGAAAGCAAGAGATCGGGATACTTTCCCAAAAACACGAATTAAATGAAAGAAATTTTTAAATGTTAAAAGTCCTGTGTAAGCTTCTGGTTTGAACCTGAATTTTTTGTGTATGTGCAATACTGGGGACTGAACCCAAGGCCTTTGCACAAAGCTACATCCTCAGCCCATTTTATTTTGTATTTTGAAACAGGGTCTTGCTAAGCTGCTAAAATTCCCATGCTAGCCTCAAAGTTGTATTCCTCATGCCTCAGCTTCCCAGAGTACTAGGAGTACAGGCATACGGCACCATAAGAATCTTAAGTTTTTAAACATCCACTGCTAATACAGAAGCTGACAGGAGGTAAGAACAATGACAGACAAAGTTTAAAATTCCCAAATCAGCTTTTTAAATGTTTAGATTTTTAATAACAAGGTCAGAAATTCTTACACTGAAACTATCTTCCTCATGGAAATGAAATGCCAAAAGCAAATAAACCCATCCTATACGGAATAGCTTCATTACTGAATCTTTCCTGCCAAACATAAGAGATCTCCCATATGCTTAGCTGGTGATTTCACTGTCAAAAGAGTAGAAAAGGATACTTGTAACAGGGTAAGAATTGACGAAGATGAGCGAATACAACAGGTAGTGGCAGCTGTCCTCTAACAAAGCCTGGGCCAGGAATGCTCTGCTTAACTGGAAGTGTGGCAATCTTTGATGCAGTCTCAGAGCACTGGTCAGAGCATTTGCCAGCAAAGCACGTTGATAAAAGCTTGCTGCTTCATGCAACCTGCAAATTATCAAAGGAGAAGTTACCATGAGACAAACAACTACCACGTCTCTTCCTCCTTTGTGAATTGCATCAGAATTGCACAACGCCTAAATCATTTAATTGCCAAAAGAAAAAAAATTACTTTAACTGAGCCTACCTTCTTAAAAGCATCTCTTCACATATATACGCAACTGAATTTTATGAAACAGTAATTTTTCCTATCAAGTTAAAAATGCAAAAACCATGAACTCACTTCATTCCTATTGATCTATTTTTCTTTATATTTTGACTATGATATTAGTTTCACAAATCACAAGATATAAAATATTTCTCCAACTGATTACTAGGTTATCAGTGATTCAAAATGGGACTTGTACTTTATTTGTCCTTAAACCCTTTACAGTTTAGTAATGCTTACACCTGAAGGACGTTTTATAAACTGCCTGCACAACTGGCTTATCGAAGTTGGAAACACATAATACATACCCAAGAAGAGGTAGAACAAACAAAGCCGAGCAGTAAACTGTGAACAATCGGGAAAGCCACATTGCTGTGTCCAGTTTATTGGCCATCATGAATTGCTAGATTGAAAAAGAAAAATATTTAGTAATCTAAGCCTGCAAATTATGTTTTCAAGGATATAAAACATAGAATTGTTATTCCTATTCAAACTATTTTAACAAACATGTAACATTTGTTTTTAGATCATTAAATGAAAACTTACTAACTGTTTGAACATGTATGTGCAATGATAAATCCAAATACTCTGTAGTTTTTATGTGGAAAACACAGGAAGTACTTAAATAAACAAAAAATACCAGTTGATATCATAAAATTTGAAAAAAATTAGAAAAAAGCTGAAAAATTTACAATTGTCTGTGTTCCTTCAACACTTGCAATTCTAACTTCATTTTTAAAAAACATTAAATAAGAACTAATTCCTCTCAAGGGACACATAGTGCGTATTCTTAGAAAATCTCAAATCCAAATAAGTATGCCTTAGAGCTGAATAAGAAGGCATCACATAAGTCCAGTTTAGATTAAATAAACCTTTTAAAAGAGATATAGAAGCCAGGCATGATGGTGCACGCCTGTAATCCCGGCACTCAGGAGGCTGAGGCAGGAGGATGAGATCGCAGTGACTTTGAGACCAGCCTGGGTTACAAAGTAAGCTCAGGGCCAGCCTGAACTGAAGAGTGAGATCCTTTTCCAAAAAAACAAAAAATAAAATAAAATAAAATAAAAATTAAAAAAAAGAGAAATAGAAAACCATGGTAATTGTTCCTATCAAACTCCTTAGTCCATGGTAGATATACAGAGGGGCCTACTACCTCACAACAACAGGTATTAAGTGGCACCTGCTTCTCTTTTATGACTCTGCACTCCCTTAAGGCTCTCCCACAGGTTTTACATGAGTGCCAATGACACTAAATTAAACTTCCATTTACTATTTTTTTCTCCACTTTTTAAAATCTTTTCCTTTGCTGTATTCTCCCCATATGGGTCCATTACTATTGAAGCAAGAATATAAAATGTTTTAACATCAAGATGTTTTAGCATTTATCTTTAAATTATAAGGAAACTTTCACATTTTCAACAATATAAATATTTAACATCAAGATCCAATACAAGGGGCTGGGGATTTAGCTCAGTGGCACAGCACCTGCCTGGCAAGCGTAAGGTCATGAGTTCGATTCCTGGTACTGGAAGAAAAACAAAACAAAGAGATCCAATACAAATATACATGGCTGCATAAAACAGTCTTACAGAACAGTACTTATCCTTAGCATGTGTAATGGACTTTGGTATTTTCTTTTTTTTAAATATTGGTGCTTCCACTAAGCTGATTTCAAAATGGGTCTACCTAAAGTTTAAAAATACTGTTTTACTAGTGTAGCACCCCTGAGTGGTGCAAAACTGGGCACCAAACCTACTGCAAGGCCAGGGCTGGACTGCGCCAAAGTCTGGATTTCTAGAAGGTATGAGATGCTCAGAATGCATTGACTGGAAGGAAAAGCACAAACAATTGCTTTCATCGCTGCTGGTATTGTTTTTCACAGGCTGGTGGATTATCAAAGATGCAACTGTTATTTAATCCCAATATGGAAGAGTTCAACCACTCAAACCATGTCTGTGGTGTTACAGCAAGCATAACCTTCCTAATGATTAAAGCAGTACCAAATGGACAAGCCTAGGGCGATAGAGTGAAGATTGTCTGGGTCAAATAGGTTGCTAGCATTTGGCTGCTGATTGGTTTTATGTTGGCTTTTGGATCTGACTGTGTCTAAGTGGATGGTCTTTGGAGGTTATATTGTTAAAGAAAAACCCATAGTATATTTTGGCATTCCTATATTTTTCCAAAATGTTTTCATATTTTCTGGAGGACTGGTGTTTATGTGTGGCCACACCAAAGACTTGTGGCAATGAAAATAGTAGACTTTCTGCAGCTGGGCAGCTCTGTTGGGGGTGTTTTACTGCTCACTCCTAGTCTTTTGTAATGCCATTTTCTCAACTTATTTCTGATGCCAAGGATTTAGCTCCTGCCTGGCAAGTGTGAGGTCCTGTGTTCAATTCCCAGTACTCTCCTCAAAAAATAAAATAAATTTATTTCTGAGTGCAGTCTTAGCTTCAAGTTGTGTAATGCTAAAATCACAAGAACTCTTTGTGTAACAGCAACAAAATCTCTTGTGATATGCACCTAGTTAACTTATACAATGTAAAGGAAACTGTTTTACATGTGTAACTTCTGTCAAGTTTTGTTTTGTTTTGTTTTGTTTTTAAGGTAGGGTCTTGCTGTGTAGTCCAGGCTGGCCTCGAACTCCTGCTGATCCTCCTGCCTCAGCCTCCTGAGTGCTGGGATTACAGGCCTGTACCACCACACCCAGCTCTATCAAGTTTTATCATGGTATAATTTTTTAAAATAAAAGTTACAGAAGAAATTATGGACTCATCAGAGTATTTTATCTGAGGTTCAAAAAACTGTAATGAAAGTGCTCTGAAGATATAATGTATTTAAATGTGGCCTCTTCTTTGTCAAATGTTAAATGAAATATAAACATTTTCTTGTTTTTATAAATTTTAAAAAATACTGTTTTAAAGTAATTTAACTTGCTGGGCGTGGTGGCACACACCTCTAATCCGAGCACTTGGGAGGCTGAGGGAGGAGGATCACTGTGAGTTCCAGGCCCGCCTGAGCTACAAAGTGAGTTCAAGGCCAGCCTGAGCTGCATAGTGAAACCTTGACTCAAAAAGGCAACAACAAAAAAAGTAATTTAATATGACAAATTGTGCTGCTATAAACATGGGTGCACTTATATCACTGTAGTATGATGTTTTCAGTTTTTCTGGAAACATACACAGAAGGGGAATAGCTGGGTCAAACAGGACCTCCAATCCTAGTTTTTTGAGGAATCTCCACACTGATTTCCACAGTAGTTGTACCAGTCTACACTCCCACCAACAGTGGAAAAGGGTTCTTTTTTCCCTACAGGCTCGCCAGCATTTGTTATTGGTTGATTTCTTGATAACAGCCATTCTTGAAATAAATGGATGCAATTAGAGACTATACTCATAAGTGAAATAAATCAGACCCACATGTGTAAACATATTGTCTCCCTAGTGTAAGAAACTGAAAGAGTGCTGGTGGTGCACACTTGTAATCTCAGCACTTGGGAGGCTGAGGCAGGAGGATCATTGCCAAGTTCAAGGCCTGCCTGCTACAAAGTGAGCTCAAGACCAGCCTGAACTGCACAGCGAGACCCTGTCTCAAAAAAAAAAAAAAAAAAAAATCCGAAAGGTACAAGAGATAGTGTGGAAGGGAAAGAAACTACTAGGGAAAGGAGGAAAGAAAGAAGGAAGGGAAAAAAATATCATGGCTAATTTCTATTGGTTTATTGTAAGGAATAGTTAATGCTTAAATTTTTTTTGACAAATTTTACATGCTTATATCTGGTAATCTGAACAACTACTTTGGGTTTTGTTTTTTTTTTGGTACATGGAACTGAACTCAGGACCTTGTGCTTGCCAGGCAGGTGCCTGTGCTGCTGAGCCACATCCCTGGCTCTGAACAACTACTATGAAGATAATAACATGCAATGTAACAACCACTTTTGATTTCCTATCATCTTGTTTTAAAATTCTGTATCGTATTTTTTATTCTTATTTTTTATTCTCTCTAAGGTCAATCATATTAAAAAAGCAAATTTAAGAACAAAAAAGTAATTGAACTTTCTGAGAAAAAATATTGAGAAAAAATAGTTTTTTAAAAAGAAACTATTTTCAAATATGAGGACATTTTACTGAACATCTTCCTAAGCACATGCAGGTAATTTCATAAATATGAAATATCCCTCTGATTTATTCTACCCAGACTTACCACACTGTAATTCCCCTAAATATAAAAGATTAGTAGCAGTTAAGTGAAAGGATGAATTTAGCTTACTCTGCTAATTTTCTTTACAAATATTCAAACTCTACAACGTAGTTTAAAATTCTCTTTAAAATTTATTTGTGTAGGGTGATAATTCTGCAGTAAATGACTGAGTTGTGTACTTCATTTGGTACAATACTATGGATGTGAATTTCATCATACAATTAAAAAAAAAGTTTAGAAAGGTATAACTGGTTTACATTTTTAAGACTGAACTATCCCAACCACCACAGCTAGTAATGTTTTACAGGCAAAAAACATTAATGGGTCTTTGAGTGAAAAACTGTTGAGAAGCCAGACAAACCAGACAAAGCGTCAGTCTCATGCTGTAGAACACCTTTCAATTATAAAGGGGAAAAGGTCTTTACAGTGGACAAACTGATGGATATCACCTTAACCAAACAATACACTTCAATTTCCCAATACAGAATTAATCAGTAGGAAATGCCTCAGCTATGCACTGAAGAAGGGACACACTATTACTTATGTAACTCCAATTTGAGAAGCATTCTACAAAACAAGTCTGGACTCTTGAAAACTATCATTATTTTGAAAGACACAAAAGGGATGAGGACAGAAGAACTGTTCTGGACTACGGTAGACTAAAGGGATATGATCAGTAAACGCAAGGCGTGCTTTGTGGAAAAATATTGGGAGAAAGAAGCAGCTTTAAAGGAACAATCTGTGAAGCTGGAACACGGATTGTCTATTAGGTAATAAGGCGTCAATCTAAAATTTCCCAAATGTGATAACTGCATTGTGGTCACGTGGAAGAACACTTACGTTTTCTGGGTTAACAAATACGACTAACTCAAATGGGTCAGCAAAATGAAAACGTGTGTATCCAAGAATGCTGCAATTAAAAAAAAAACTTGCCCAATTCACAAATTCATAGTTTTCAAACTAAAAGAAAATAAGTCTTCGAGTACAAATAACTGGAAAGCTGCAGATCAGCATCTTAAAAATAAAAAATTTACAGAAGCCTAGTATTTCTTTTCATAAAGAAAAAAAGTGAGGAAGAAAAGCAGCCCGCTCTGCATCATTTCTCCACGACATGAAGTAAGTACAAAGGTCCTCTGCCAATTCGTGGGTGCGCCCCGAGGCGTGTGTCACAGCACCTCAAATGGCATCTTCAACCTTGGGGTCGAGGACGATCGGAGAGGAACGGCAGGAAGAGACAGGAAGACTGCGTTCCCCTGCACACAGGTGGGGGCCACCTGCTCCGGGCCAGCGCGGCCGCTCCGGGAGAAACTCCGAGCGCGCCCTCGCACGCACCCCGCCCCCGCCCCCGCCCGCCGACCGGGTCCAGAGGGCTCCGCGCTCCCGGAACGCCGTGGAACCCCGCAACACTGCCCGCGGCTCCGAACCCTTGCACAGGACGCGAGAGGAGACGACCGCGTCCACTCACCACAGCGCCCGCCCCCTGGGGGCCGTTCGGGGTCGTATCAGCCATGGGAGACAAAGTCGCGCCTGCGACGCTGTATCGCGGAGAGAGAAGGAAGAAGTGACAGAACGTCAGCGCCGGGGCCACGACCCGGGTAACCGGCCTCCCCGTCGGGTGCCACGGGCCCGCCGCGCCTTGCAGGAACTTCGAGACCCCAGAGGTAAGGTTTCGCCGGACCCAGCGCAGCACACTGCCCCAAGACGGCCACAGCGACCGGGAAATACCTGTCCCGCACCGCCGAGATCAAAGCGGGCTTTCTAGAAAGACCGAAGCGAAGGCGGAGCTTTGGCAAGGCCCTAAAGGACCGCCTAATGCTGCCGGCCCCTGGTTATTGTCGAACTCGGAAGTACTCCTTTCACTTCCGCGGGCATGAGTCCGTGACTGTGAGGGCAAGCGGGAGCGGTGTCCCGAGGCATGGCGGGAAGTGTAGTTTTTCTCTTCCTTTCGGCCTCACCTGTCCTCCTAGTCAGTCATTGGCTCAGTAAACTAAGAAATGAGACCGGCCAAATTTTGCCTCATCTCTGGCACAAGGAGAACCTTCCCTACTCTTAGTCAAATCACAAAATCTCTTTATTCCCTAACATAGACGCCTCAGAAACATCTTTGATCTGTCCTTCACTTGCTTGTTAACTCTTTCTCAACTTCTAAAAATTTTCCAACAAATCTTACAAAGCCTGCTATGTAGCAAGTTCCATGCTTAGCTTGGAGTCTAAAAAGATGACGAGACAAAATGAATGAGAGACAGGCAAGTAAGCCAAAATCACAACGTAAACTCTTAAAATATGGTCAGAAGCTGAGTTAAGTTTACGGAGCACATGGTGCCTCAGGAGGTGTCCTGGAAATGATAATTCTGACCCTCAATCATGAAGGAAAAGAAGAAGTTGGGTGACAGCAGAAGGGGATTTCAGACAAGAACAGAAAGTGCAACAAGTAATAGCACAGAGATCTAGTTTAGTATGAAGAGAAAAAGGTACTAATGAGAGAACTATGAAAAGATTTGGGATAGAAAGGCAGGATGGGATGTGTTACAAAGCAAAGAATCTGAACTTGATTTTGTACCAGAGAGCCATGGTGCAACTTTAAGCAGAAGTGTAATATCAGATTTAGCAAAATCACTCGAACAACGGGGTTCAGGATGATCAGAAGAGAAGCCAGGAGATTTGTTGGGAAAGAATTACGTACATTTAGAAGGGAGATTTGGACTAAGGCAGTTCGTGAAGGAAAAGAGGAAAGATGACTTGGAGGTAACTTCCAAGATTTGGTAACTGAGTAGGTGTGTAGCAGAGAGAAGGTAATCTGCTGAGACCTAGAGAAGCGGTGTAGAGAAGAATGCATCAGAAGAGCAGTGAACTGAGAAACACTAAGGGATTGGAGAAAGGAGCTGACTGAAAACCTATAGGACATCTGTTACAACACTGGAAAAGCACAAACCAGTCATGCGCCTCCTGTTCTATCAGATTTGTGGTTATCCTCCAGGACCCTTGCGCAGTCTAGGTGCTGGTCAGCTGCAGCCCAGAAGCCAAATGGTGCTCTTTTAAAGTGGTGTAAACGTCTCTTTTTCTAAGGCTGTTGCCCACATTCATGCCTTTACTTCCTTTCAAGTGTCATTTAGCTCATATTTTATAGTACTTATCACTTTCTAAAATTTCTTATAATTATTTGTCTGTCAGTGCATGTGTGTTCACGGGTTTGCTAGCTCAGAGAACCATAACAAAATGCCATCCTTTTCCTCATAGGTAGGCTAGAGGCTTGAAAGTTCAGGTTACCAGCGATGTGGGCTTCATTTTGTGGCCTTTTCTTTTGGCTTGAAGGGAGCTGTCATTTTGCTGTATGCTCAGCAGATGTGTGGGGGTCGGGGATGCATTTGCGCTCTCTTAGAATTATGACCTTATTTACCTGCTATCCCCAAATATTAGGGGTTAGAACTTCAACATAACAATTTGGGGGGTAGTGGAGGACAGAATTCAGTCCATAGCAGCAATATGCATGTGTGTTAAAAGGATACTATAATTATAAAAAAATATATAAAATAGTCTCTATTGAAAATTCACTACAGCCAGTTGATTCACATAGAATGCATTTTTAAATTTTTGCTGAACTTTTGGATCCATAGTAATGTACAATTGTAATTGATGAACAAGTGTACTTTGATAACTGCTGCTTGATATTTTTGTTAAGAAATAAGATGACAGTGAAACAACTAAGTCATACATTAGAACTTCATTCATTCAACAATAGTGTGATCAACTTTTTACTAAGTTAAATACTAGCTTTTGAACACTAGAAGAATATCTGCTCAAAAATTTTGGGCTGCTATTCACAATGTAACACCTATAGACATAGCTCATTTTAAAATTTAATCTTTATTGTTCACATTTTCTCCATCACTTTCATTGTGTAGACAACCAGTAAAATAACAGTCAACCCTCAAGCCCTGGTTTGTAGTGTTTTGTGATATTTCCATCGTATAAGTACTCCCACTGTGACTATTTCAAACTGCAAACATAATGTCACTGAATGTGGAGCTGGGAAGGGGTGTGCATAGCACACCACTACAGAATCACTATTTCTATTAGATACATATAATAGGAACAAGAAACCTCAAAAGCATGGATAGTAGTAAGATGTAGTAAAAGTAATTTGAAAGTTATGAGCTATAAATAGTTATTATCTTTGTATTAATATAACAGAGATCTATACAATTTAAGATTTTAGTAATGGCTATGCATAACAACCAGTTCACAAAAATTCTGAAAATTTAATAATCAGCACTTATAAGCCAACACAAGCTAGCTCTATTGTTCTGCTATGTTCCTTCATTCATGATATTCTTTCAGCCCCTTCCCCTTCTTCTTTTTAGGTAGTGGAACTTTCCTTAAACTTTAATGCACTCATTCCCATGGCTCAGTATCTTTAATATTTCCTTCCCATCTGTTGGGGGCCACAAGTTATAAATTGAGTCTAGAGTATGTCTGAGGCCGTTGTTGTTCTGTCTTTTGAATGAGATTGAAGGGAGGAAACTCCCTGCTTTCTTCTGGTCACAGCTGAAGCCCTGCAGCTAGTGATGCTGTGGAGCTCACAGGGCAAGATAAGACCTGCTGAGGATGATAAGGATCCTTAATGCAATTTAGTACCAATAGTAAAAAGTTTCACCTGGGGAAACTACAATTTCTTTATTGCCCCTGTCTCATCCTTGCAAGAATACATGGTTCTTCCTGCTGGCCCACAGCAATGTCACTACTGTTCTGCAGTCACTCGCTGCTCTTTCCCGTCCACTAGCTAATAAAATAGTGGCAAGCTGGAGAGTTTTTATCTTTGCTCACCCTGAGGCACTGACCCCCTGCTGTCTCCTATTTCACCCTTTTGCCAGTACCAGTCGTGCAGGCAGTTGGGAGATCTTGGCCAGGATCCTGATACCCGTCAGAAAAATAAAGTCCCTAGTTGAAACCTCTGAATATATTCCTAGCCTATTAAGGCACTTGTTTAATTCTCTTTTGTGTGCTATGGTTATGTGTTCTCATCAAGTGTCTTAAATTTCTAAAAGGAAATAGGAGAAACTGTTAATGAGGAATAGAAGAAAGTGGAGGACTTTTGGCCAGCAGTCTAATATGCTCTATTTGTAATTTGAAATTTTTAAGCTAGTCAGTTTAAAGATAAATATATTAAAAATTGGTCAGAAAATGTTCCTATGAATACTAGAAAAACTAGTGGATGCCATGGATGAAATGTTGATGGCAGAGTATTGATACCTTTCTAGAGATTTAAAAATTTTTATTATTTTACTAATTACAAAGGGAAAGGTATATCTCTTCCATGGAGCACTGTGGCAGTTAAAACCCTAACCAGGAGGTGACTTTCTCTTGTGGAATGGAAAAAGAGGCAGAAAATAACCAGTGTGACAAATTCTTAAATTTTTAGGAAAGCAAAAATAGGAAAGTTTATGATTAGGCCCATTCCATTAAAATTATTAAGCCCAGTATATCTTTAAGAATAATCTTTTTGTTTTCCTACTGATATATGTATCACAGATGTTAATCTTCTGCCACATTTGCTTTAAAATTTTTATAAAACAGTATTTATACAGTTAAACAATCTCGTTCATTTTCCTAAGTATCTAGAGCTACTGCTTCACTGAAATGACTGAATTCTTGTTCATTTTTAAACCTTTATTATCTGTACAATAAATAATATACAATAAATAATGTAAGTTATGGTTTTGTATACTTTTTTTTAGACAGGGTTTCACTATTCCCAGGCTGACCTCAAACCTTTGGACTCGAGTAATCTGTCTGCCTCAGCCTCCAGAATACCTTTTGCATTTTTGTTTTTGTTTATTGAGACAGGGTCTCATTATGGAGTTCAGACTAGCCTTTAACTCACTATATAACCCAGCCTGGCCTTGAAGTTACAAGAGCTTCCTGCCACAGCCTCTCAAGTGCTAGGATTACAGGAGTGTGCCACCTGGCTCCTTTTGCATTTTTGAGGGCCACATCACATTTTATCTCTCCTCTTCCAACCTGCCTTTTTTAGTCAACATTGTTGTGTTTTCTTCTCTTTTTCTTTTTTTTGAGACAATGTAGTTCAGGGTGAACTTGAACTCACTATGGAGCCCAGAATAGCCTTGAACTCAGGGCAACTCTTCTGCCTCAGCCTCCCAAGTGCTGGCATCACAGTCATGTGCAACTATGCCCAGCTAATATTGTGTTTTCAAGAAACACCCAGATTAGGACACATAAGTTTAGTTTATATGTTCTAATTATTCTATTTATGAATTATGACAATTAATTTATTCATTGCCTTGATGGATATTTATTTTTCCATCTATAAATCAATTTTATAATAAACAGTGAGCACAGCAGTTTATCTAAAGTAAATACACAGTTAGAAGTGAAATAGGTAGGCCATAGGGTATCTTCAATATCCACCACCTTTTTTTGTGTTTTTCTCAGTGCTGGGGACCTCACATATACTCGGCAAGCACTTGTATTATTGAGCTACATTCCTAGCCCTCTACCACTTCTTAATACCACCACATTAGCGACCAAACCTCCAGCACATGAACCTTAGGGAACAAACCATATCTAACCCACAGTGTCTATTGCTTTATATAAAATAATATGTTGTTATTGATTCCATTTGTATTTTCCTGAGTAGCTGTGAAGCTGAGCATCTTTTCAGACTTTATTGGTCACTCAGGATTTCTCTTCTGTTGCCTCTCTATTGGTTGCTTGGGGTTTTTTTTATTATTCCATTATTGATTTGTTAAAGTTTTAAAATTTCTTGTTAAAATTACATTTTTATAGTAGCTCTTCACTATGTGAGTTGAAAAATTTCCCTT